TTTCTTTCTTTTTTTCTCACCTAAATCTTTGCTTCAGTTCTTCCTTGTGTTATCTTTTTTCTTGATCTTACAGGTCTCTGATTAAAACAACAGTATGATAAGTCCAAACTGGCCAGGTCAGTCCATAATTAAACTGAAACAGTGGGGTGTGGGGCGTTTCCTTAACATTACTTTTGCTCATTTTTGTTAAGTTTTCCTTGAGTAGTGTTTTCAAACCTCTATACATTTCTTCTTGAAATTTGTTTTGAAGAAGAGTGGAGAAGGAATGCTTTGCTGTAGGCTGTAAGGGGAGCCTCTACGAGGCAACTTCTAGGTTTAGAGTCTCCACTTATTTTCACATGCAACTCTAGGGTAAGCCATTCAGTTTCCTCTCGACATCTTTTAATATATGTTTATAGACTAAGGTAATACTTATTTTGAAACTACTCTGTCTTTTTTAGATCAGTGTATTTTAAGAATAGAAAGCATAGCTATTATTCTCATCATTGTGTTGTATTCTATGATAATTATCCAATTTGGTTATAAATGACAGCCAAACAGTGATGCTGTAGTTTGTTACAAAGGGTTCTATTATCTGTGGATTGTTTCTAAAGTTATAGCACGCTGAAAGTCTTTATAACGTACCAGTGTATGAGACCTGGATTGAGATCCTGGCCTATATAAGCTGTTTGGCCCTAGGTAACATGCTGGATGGTTCAAGTCCTCAGTCTTCTCATCAGTAAAAGCCAGAGACTTGTACCTTCCTGTTAGGCTGGATGCAAGCACTAAATGAGATAATGGAGTCTGTGTGTTCAGCATGGTGACTGGCACATAGAAAGTGTTCAGAACCGGGTACCTGCTGTTGTATCTTCGTGGCTGCCATACTTATTGCCATCACAACTTAAACATCAGTAATTCCAATTTAAGGAAATTGTATTGTATTTTATTTTTTTAGAAAATTGTATTTTATAACAATTAATCCATTGAGTGTTAGAATTTTATAAAACGGCATTTCTTTCTTTCTTTTTTTTTTTCAAATCTGTTTAAACTCAGACTTTGGCTGAAACTCAGATGTTTTTAACCATAGAAAACTTCCATAATTTCTGAAAGCTCATTTCTCAGTAATAATTATTCATGAAGACATCATTTGAGATTAAAGGTATCCAGCAAGCAGATGTTGGGATGAGACAAGGATGATTCTGAGATTAACCTGCCTCCTTACTTTTTTGTATTAAATGTGCTTAAACATTTTTCTTTCATCAGGTTGGCGATAGTAGGAAAGGATTGTTCAGGAATGTCTTGCTATTTGTCTTTGCATTGTAGTTTTCCTCACTAATATGGAATTTAAGGTATTTCTTTTATCATATGTTACCTGGAAAAAGCAAAGATGAATAAGCAGGTTCATTGTGCTTATATCATTAACTATATGATTGTAGAAATTAATGAAGTTGTTGCCTTAAAGGACTTTTCTCTTTCTCTCCTGACCCTGGAAGCTAATCATTAGATGCGAAAAAGATACAGGTATGTGATAAACAGATGAAGAAGATTCTAAGATGTGGAGAAGTTGTGTTTGAACAAGTGGGACCATCACTATGCACAGGAGCTTAGGTTACTGAATGGATGCTGTGTTCTGATGTCTGGGTTCCAAGACTTGCTCGAAATTTCCCTGAGCAAAACTTTATTTTAGGGTTAAGAAGGATATATAGCAAGTGGAACAGCCAAACGTATAGACATTGGGGAAAATAAAAATGATTAGAAAAGAAAAAAATATAGGCTCCCTTTTCAGTGTTTCCAGTGAATGAAAATTTTATGCAGTGCTAGTTTTGCTCTAGAATTTAAAATATTCATAACGTTTTAAAAAATAGTAAAAGTGGTTGTCTTTTAAAATGTTAAAAGTGATGTGAATAGATTTTTTTCTTTATTAATACTGTTTTAAATTTTTTTCATAATGTACATGTACTTTTTTATAATTGAGAAATTATTTTGTTAAAAAAGAATGCTATTTCAAAAATGTTTTGACATTTCACAAAACAGTTTTTGTTCATTCTATAAGTAATATTATCCATTTTTGTCTTAATACTATTTTCTTTTCTTTTTTAAACTTTATTGGGGAACAATGTGTTTTTTCCAGGACCCACCAGCTCCAAGCAAGTTGTTGTCCTTCAATATAGTTGTGGAGGGTGTAGCTCAGCTCTAAGTCCAGTTGCTGTTTTCAATCTAGTTGCGGGGGGTGCGCGTCCCACTATTCCATGCAGGAGTCGAACCAGCAACCTTGTTGTTAAGAGCAACTGAGCCATCCAGCCGCCCCCAATACTATTTCCTTTTGAAGATAGTTTATATAGTTTTCTGACTTTTATACCATTTGTTATTTCAGGTAAATTTTCAGAGAAATTTGATTACCTTTTACTTCTGATAGCAGATGTTCTTGACTTATTTTTGCTTTAACACAACTGGTTTGAAGTATTTGCTGAGTCAGAAATGGCTCTCAATCACTATAGAGTTTTTTAATGCACCATTGATGGCACCTTCTAGCATTTTTCACATCTTTAACAGAAGGACAACCCTGTATTAGGGAAATGGTGTCTAGCTGGTGTGTTATAATTAGTACCTTTACTATGGTAATGGGATCAGATTAGTTTTTGAGATTCTAAAATTCTAAAATATGTAGATAATAAATATCAAGAAACATTGCACATGATGGTAGAATCTTGAATGGAAATATTTGCTTAAATTCTAAAACTTCCCCAAATGCTATTCTATGCAAGAGAAATCACTTTTATCTTTGACTTTTTTACTTCCATTTGACTTTACATTTTCTACTTAAACAAGTATAAATAAGGTTGATGTAAATTAAAAATGCCAAAATATACTTTATAAATTCAAAGTGTGGCATTAATTTAGTTGGGAGGCCCACCAAAAAATCAAGTACAAAATTATATAATATAGCCTGTTCTTTAAAATTCAAAAAATATATCCTTGAATGCAGTGCAGACCACGGGTATAGCGAGAGATGATCAGAGTGTTTGTCTGAAGTTTACGCCTGACACAAACAAGTGTTCATGTGTATATGCTGTGTAAACTGCAATTTTAAAACATTTACTTATATTTCTCATAGAGCTTGAAGTTTAAAATAGGTATTATTAGAGCATACATTTTATACTAATAGGCCTTTCCAGTTATTCCCTTTACTTTTTCAGTAATTTTATAATAAAATACTAAATTGGTAAAATTGATATTATAAATGATAGATTTAGAGTAGGTTAAAAGATAATTTGTGAAGAAGAAGAAGATAAAAAAAAGTCCTGAAAATCCAGACCAAATCCTTGTTAATATTTTAACAAGTTAAATTATATTTGGATTTTTCTTACATTTATTATTTTGGCAAAGAAAAGATGATTCAAAATTTGGTTTTTAGAATTCTTCAAAGTTGTCAATTTCAAAATAGACCATAATTTCTTGTGTGTAAGAAAACAACTTCTGTGTAATGTATTGGGTCGTCAGAAAAGTCATGACGTATTTTTTCTATGTTTTTTGTTGCAAAAATGCGTCATGATTTTTCCAACGACCGAATGTATCTAGGCTTATGTGAAGATGTTATTTTTGCCATAGGTTAGATTTGAAAATGTAGTTTATATAGAAATTAAAAATTACAAATAGATATACATTCAAATTTCTGTTCTCTTCAAATAGATTTTGAGGGAAAACTTGGCCTTACAAGGATTAGGTTTTCTCCCTACTTTTGTTGCTCCAAGGCAATTAAAAAAACTTATTACATGTCCAAGATCTTA